TGGCCTGAGGGGGGCGAGTTGGGCTGGGTCGGAGTTAGGGGTATAGTTGGGCGGAGGGGTAGATGGGGTTGGTATCCATAGACAGGAGAATAGGATTGGGGTAGGGTAAAAAAATGTCTGATTAAGTCAGGCGGTGAGATGAAGAGAATCCTTAGTTTGAAGGGACATGATTAGAGGGGGGGTTATAACGTATAGGACATCCACAGCAATTTGGGCAGATTAGAGTTTGATGAATATGGGTGAGAGAGGTGAAGCAGGTTGGTATATGTTGGGGATTTTGAATCGGTTTCAATAGATTAGGGTGGGATAGTCATAAGGTGGGTGGATAGATTGGTGTGTATGCATTTGGTGTGAACGGAGGGAAGATGAGGATGTTTTGGTTTTAATTAGAGTGAATTAGGGTATATGGTGGGTAGTAGAGATTAGGGCTGGGTTGGCTCAAGGGTTAAATTGGCAGACCATTGCTTGTACATAAGCTGACAATTTCGTGTGTTGGGGGGTGGGGATTGGGTCAGACCACAGTTTACAGAGTCTGTGCTCATTTTGTTCTGTAGCCTCCTCTTTGAAATTTTAAAAAATCTAGGTACTACGCTTTTGGAAAGAATCTCAAGTAGCTCTATTCCAGGGTAACTGTTTGACCTAGTAATTCTATCAGCCCCAAAGCAGCAGCCCCATGTTGGTTGCATGTATTTGAAATTCATTCGAGTATTTGAAGTGATTTTACCTGCAGGGCCAGATTTAGAAGGAGCACTAGTCAGAAGTACAGAAGATAATAGGGATTATAGTACTGGTACTGTCACTGATTTTGTTACACAGCTAGGTCACTGATTTTCTCTTATGTGCCTGCATTTTACACTCTGTACATTTGGGATCAGTAACCATGGCTACATTTAAGGGACTTCTGAAGATGATTGAAAACAGTGTTAGTAAAGGTCCCTGGAAAAGGAATACAGTTTAAGTATGTATGGTTAGTTGTTGTATTTAATGAGGAGATTGAGGGAGGAGTGGGGTTTTTGTTGTTGTTTGTTTTTCTGGTTTCTGACATTTTGCTCTTCTCTGTACCAGGCCCTAATGCTAGAAAATTTACAGAAACACTCAACACCCCATGCTGCATTTCAGCCAAATTCCCAGGTAAGAAAGATTCGTTAGAATGGGGTAGGTTCTTTGGACACGTGGAAGGACATAATGTATATTTGATGCTTAATTCCTTACCAACTTTTCTTAAGTTCCCTGGGTCGGAAATGTTCTCATACCAGGACAGTTGAATTCTGATAAAGAATTGAACAGAATCAGAGGAGCTATTAGTTAATTTCTGATATTGAAATGGTGTGTGCAGAAACATGTGGCTCCAGCAGATTGAGTATAGTACTTGGATCTAAAGTCATTTATTTGCCATTGATTTGGGAAGAGTAGTGGTCTTTGAATATAGATATAATGTACTTGCTGAGAAACTATTGTGTTGATACAGGTTTTCCAAGAATTCAGTCTTTTGGAAATCATCGACCATTTAAAGTGTTAATACTAACCATGCTGTTAGTCCTAAATATTATTAGTTGCTGTTATTTAGGGCAAGATACTTAACCTTTGCAGGCCTTGGTTTTCTCAATTTCACTGTTTGTAATATAAGAGGTTAAACTAGATCCGTAGGTTTATAATTGCTCTGCTGGTGTTTTGTGGATCTGCTTTTTGGGGGCTTCCTAGGGAAGATACCTTCTTTCCAGGTCAGCAGGTTTTGTTAACACTCTCCTGTTAAACTAGATTAGATCTATTTTTATCTGGTTTTTATATTGAGTTTCTGCATAAGATGTTTTTAGAAGAAATTATTTCAGTTTTTTTAAAAATCCTGAAAGCTAAAATGTTAGTGCTATCTTAGACTGCATGATCTCAAGATTCTTTTCACTTTTAAAATCCCCTCATTGTAGTTTGTCATGCACTTAAAGTAAAAATCCAGATCTTTGTTAGTGCAGTGGTGTGCAGCTCCAGTACTAGATGGAGTCCCAAGATACGGTGGAAAAACAAGAGAGCCTTCCTAATCCCTTATCACCTCATTAAGCTGCGTTATAATCTAGCCAGCTTTCAGAGGTTTAGTTAGCACTTTAACAATCATAAGAAACTGCATAAGTTAATCAGTTTATGATTATATTCCTTTTGCATTTTAGTGTTTGAAGCTTTGCTTTTTTTTTTTTTTTTTTTTTTTTAATATATTTTTATTGAGTTTTAGAGAGAGAGGAAGGGAGAGGGAGAGAGAGATAGAAACATCGATGATTGAGCCTGCAACCCAGGCATGTGCCCCGACCGGGAATCGAACCAGTGACCTCTTGGTCCATGAGTTGATGCTCAACCACTGAGCCGTACCAGCTGGGCTGAAACTTTGCTTTTATTAACAGGATTTTCACAGTAAATACATATATTCTCTATTACATGCAATCCACACTTCATTGGTGTCCATTGAGTACCAAGATACTCACCTCTAGTTGAAAGCAAACATTTATTATGCTTAGGAAAGAAGACTGAATTTTTTCCTTTTTCTAGAGTTTGTTTTTTTTTTTTTTTTTAACAAATGACGAAGATTGTTATTGGACCAGGAGCAGGGTCAGAGAGAGAAGCAGCAGAAAGGTGGGTTCTGCCTTGAGTCCCTAGAGGAAGAGAAGCAGGAATCAGACAGGAAGAACAGCACCTACAGGGAGGAGGAAGGCGGGGCTGGGTCCCAGGTCTGCCACAAATCAGTTATTTACCCCTGGGACTCAGTTTTCTCACCTGTACAAAGGGGGAGTACAATACCTGCCTGGCTCCCTCCAAGGGCCTCAATTCAGCTTCATGAGAGAGCAGGTATGGAAGAGCTTACCAAACTGTAAAGCCTAGTGCACACATATAGGCTAACTACAGACCTGGGACCAGGCCCAACAGGGCTCTGAGGAGTGGAGACAGTTAAGTGTTGGCAATGAAAATACTGTTTGAGGCCCAGACAGTCCATTGAGCACCTCAGATCCCTAACACTTGTGCTCTCTCTCTGCTCCCCTCATCTTCCCTGCATCTTCTGTCCTGGGGTCTGAGAGACTCAACTGTGGGGTCACTGAGGGCTGGGGAGAAGGAAAGTTCCTGCCTTGGGCTGGCCCACACATCCACTCTGAACCTGAGGCTGGGGCCATACCAGCCACACCCTTGGCAAGGCCCTGCTTGTGGCCTCCAATCCCCCTTGATGAGCAGGTTTGTTTCCTGTGATGAACAAATAAATGTACTCCTCATAGTGAGGAAGGGCCGGGACCCTCGGCCCCCTTTTCCCTGATGGCCACCCTTTCAATGAGGTCTTATGTGTGTCTAAATTGTCCATCTCTGTGTCTCACCTCCATCCTGGTGAGGGTTGGAATGACTGGTGGAGAATTCTTCCTTGCAGCACCCCAAGTGGCTGCCAGCCTGGGAAGGAGACAGCATCTGCCTCCTCCTGGGACCTCCAGACCAAGGAGCCCCAGACCAGCAGAGGCTTGAGCCTGGCTCCCCATAGAATTCTAATGGCACTTGCCATGCAATAAGGTTCTTGGGAGGGAGGAGAACTTGTGAGGAGAAGGATGAAGGGCAGAAGAGTGATGTGGGAGTCTCTGTTGCAAAAAAATGTGGGGGAGGATTAAGCACCTGCATTTTAAATATTATTACCAAGGATTTCATATCACCCAAAGAAAAGGGAATTAAAAAACTGAATGGACATCCCTTTTTTTAGTCTCTTGCTTTCATACTTTTAAGTACTGTACTAGAATTTTAGAGATGTTTGTCAGAATATTTCCTGGATAAGAAGAGATTGGTCTTTTGCTAACCACAAAAGATGAGCTAGTATGACCTAGTATTTTCCCTTTTATTTCTTTTTTTATCCTCACCCGAGGACATTTTTGCATTTATCTTCAGATAGAGCGGGAAGGAGAGAGGGAGGAAGAGAGAGAGAAACATCGATGTGAGAGAGACACATTGACTGGCTGCCACCCACACAGCCCCATGGGGCCGGGGACAAACTGCAACCGAGGTACGTGCCCTTTGCGAGAACCAAACCTGGATCTCTCTGGTCTGTGGGCCGACACTAACCGCTGAGCCAAACCAGCCAGGGCTCCCTTTTATTTCTTGATATTACTAGAAAAATTTAGATTGCTTTTTTCATTTTAATTTACTTTTGTTACAGATGTTTCTCCTTTTCTCCCTATTGACATGCTCCTCTCAATCCCCCCACCCCATCCCCAGCTTTGTTGTTCATGTCCATCGGTTATGCATACATGCATATAAGTTCTGTGGTTTATCTCTTCCCTCCCCCCTAATCCCCCTCTTCTAAGGGTTGTCAGTCTGTACCCTACTTGCACGTCTCTGGGTCTGCTCTGTTCCTCAGTCTGTTATATTCATTATATTCCACAAATAAGTGAGATCATGTGATATTTGTCTTTCTCTGCTTGGCTTGTTTTGCTTAGGATAATACTCTCCAGGTCCCTCCATGCTGTCTCAAAGGATAAGAGACCTTTCTTATAGCTGCATAGTGTTCCATTGTGTATATGTACCACAGCTTTTTTATCCACTCGTTTACTGATGGACACTTGGGCTGTTTCCAGATCTTAGCTATTGTAAATAGTGCTGCTATGAACACGGGGGTACATACATTCTAGATTGCTTTTAGATAATATTTTCTGTCACCTAAAAATATAGCTTAAAAGACATAATTTTACAGGAATTTCTTTTCTTTTTTTTTTAAGTTACTTGTGCATCTCTCTTTGAATGGGAATTAAGTATTTAAAATAAAAAATTAGCCCGGCTGGTGTTGCTCAGTGGATTGAGCTTCATCCCATGGACTGAGAGGTCCCAGTTTGATTCCTGGTCAGGGGCACATGCCCGGATTGTGGGCTCAATCCCCAGTAGGGAGCATGCAGGAGGCAGCCCATCGATATTTCTCCCTCACATTGATGTTTCTATCTCTCTCTCCCTTTCTCTCTCTAAAAAAAAGAAAAATAAATAAAAACATACATATATTTTTGAATATAGAATGCTTCATGAATTTGCGTGTCATCCTTGCGCAGCAGCCATGCTAACCCTCTCTATATCATTCCAGTTTTTAGTATATGTGCTGCCGAAGTGAGCACAGTAAAAACATTTTAATTTTTTTTTTTTTAATCCTCACCCAAGGACATTTTTGCATTTATCTTCAGATAGAGCAGGAGGGAGAGAGGGTGGAAGAGAGAGAGAAACATCGATGTGAGAGAGAGACATCAAGTGGTTGCCAACCACACGACCCCAGTCGGGGCCAGGGACAAACAGCAACCTGTGTGCCCTTAGTGGGAACCAAACCCAGGCCTCTCTGGTCTGTGGACCGACGCTCTAACCGCTGAGCCAAACCAGCCAGGGCAATAAAAACATATTTTAAAATATTATGTTCTGCCTCTTATTGCAATCTTTTGTGAATCATAGAACTTTATTTTGGTCCTCAACATAAAAGTAGTGTAAAAAAAAGACCCTGGCCAGTTTGGTTCAGTAGTTAGAACGTTGGCCTATGGACCAAAGAATTGCTGGGTCGATTCCAGTCAAGGTTACATACTTCAGCTGCAGTTCAGTCCCTGGCCCTGGTTGAGGTCGTGCAGGAGGCAACTAATCAATATGTCTCTCTCACATCAATGTTTCTCTCTTTCTCTCTCTCCCCCCAACTCCCTCCCTTCCCCTCTATCTGAAGATAAATGGAAAAATATCCTCTGATGAGGATTTTTAAATAGAGCTTTTTAAAAAAAAAGGCCATCCAACATTTAATAATCTTTCTTGAGTCCAGATATAAGGAGTAGACTTTGCTCCATGGTATTTTTTTTTTGTATTTTCCTAGTTTGCTTTCATAGACTTTTCTTTTTTCATGTTCTCTACACAGATTGGTGAGGAGATGAGCCAGAACAGTTTCATAAAGCAGTATCTGGAAAAGCAACAGGAGCTACTTAGGCAGCGTCTAGAACGTGAAGCTCGAGAAGCTGCAGAACTTGAAGGTAAGCCCAAACTGTCACTTCTTACAAGGAGTTCTTCATTCTTATTTCTGGAACTGAGTAGATGGGCCTGTTTAACTAGGCAATTTCAGGAATCAGTCATCCTGAGACTATTTATTTGCTTTGGTAGTTTATGGAGCCAAGTGAGTTACTATTTACCTTTTGTCAGGGAAGAAGACAATTTGACTATCCCATTAGAATAGGATTCTTGCCAGTAGGTAGAGTTATAAGTAAATTAAGCCACCCTTTTAGATGAGGTAGAGCTTAATGCTAGGGAGTTTTTCTCTGTGTACAGCACTCTTTTTAGTATATACTCTGTATCCATTACTTTGCCTGATCTCCTTCACTCCTCTACATATTCCCACATGCTGAGCCCTTCACTCCCTCCCTGCCCCGACCCAATCTGTACTTTGCAGAAGCTTCAGCTGAGTCGGAGGACGAGATGATCCATCCTGAGGGAGTGGCTTCCCTGCTGCCTCCTGACTTTCAGAGTAGCCTGGAGAGACCAGAGCTGGAGCTCAGCAGACATTCGCCCAGTACGTATCTCCCTCCCCACTGCGCTATTTTGTCAATCCTGCGTAGTTGGTGGGGGGAGGTAGTTACACCTCCTTTCATGCTAAACTTCCATTGAAGTCCCAGGGAAACTCTGTGACTTGATATTTGACATGTTTTTCATGGAAATTATGTCCTTTTTGAAGTCTGTTTTTACCTCTGTTGTGTTAACCGCAGAGTTGTAAGTGGTATGATTTTTCTACTCATCTGTACCTCTTTAACCTTTTCTACCTCTGGATTTAGCAACAGTCACAACTTTCTTTTACCTCTTCATCAGTTATATATATTATGAGTTGTACATCCAGTCATCCTCCCAAAGGGCATCTGCTGCAGTTTATTAATTCATAATTTGTATTGAGTGCCTATTTATGCCAGGCTTGTACTAGGCACCAGGAATATAGTCAAGAAAGATAAGTCTCTGCCCTAATGAAATGTATAGTCTAGTGAGAAGATGGACAGTAAACAAATTATTACATAATTAATTACAATTGTGCTATGAAAGTCAGTGCAGAGTATAATGTGAGCTCTAACCCAGTCTGTGGACTAGGTTCAGGCAAGATTAAATTTTTCATATTATTAAGCACTTAGTTTTGCATAGCATCTCAAGCCCAAGTCTGTAAATGCTGACCATTTTTTATTAGGAACTATCTATCTAAGACAGTATTCTTCTAGGAGAACATGTATATTAAGTTTGTACAGTAGGGAGCTGTATTACACCAATGTGTAAATTAAGTATTTTGTATCATTAATGATATTTTTAATCATTAATCATCATTAGTGGTCATGGGGAAGGTGATCATATGATATTTAACATTTTGGGAATGTTTGGAAGTTGCTGGCTCTTCTAATTAATGAATTTCTTCCTGAAAATAGATTTTAGGAGATATTTAATGATTGGAGAGAAATACATTTTTATAGAGACTTCTTTTCTCAAATATAAAAGCAGACCCTCAATTAGTTCATTTTGTTCTTAGCACTCTTTTTTCCCTGACTGTAAAGCCAGGAGGAAGGGGAAAACTCATAAATTAGTTGTCAGTGTTTCTTAAATAAAAGTAACTCAAAGTATTTATTGAATTGCTGCTATGTACATATCTCCATGTGTACATGGGGAATTAGTACATTTGTAAAATCTATTTAGGGAGAGAGAAAACAGTTGCACATAAAACTAATACTAGAAGATGGTATGTTTCTAAGCAACATAAAAGTAGTACAAACAGCCCTGGCCGGTTTGGCTCAGCGGTTAGAGCGTCCGCCTGCAGTCCGGAGAGGCCCGGGTTCGGTTCCCGCTAAGGGCACGTACCTCGGTTGCAGTTTGTCCCCAGCCTGGTTGGTCGTGCGGGTGGCAGCCACTCGATGTGTCCCTTTCACATCCATGTTTCCCTCTCTCTCTCTTCCTCTCTCTCCCTCCCACTCTGTCTGTACAAAAAATGGAAAAATGTCCTCAGATGAGGATTAAAAAAAAAAAAAAAGTAGTACAAACAGATGTATCATACAAACTCAGAAGAGTAAAAGCTTTCTGAGAACTAGAGTGATTAGAGAGAGCCTCATGAAGGTGTAGGATTTGAGCTGAGCCTTAGAAATGGGTGAGATTTGAATTGGCACAGAGGAGATGAGGGTATTTCTAGAAAGAAACAAAGGTATAAAGATAGGACTGAATGTGATATTTTTAAAGGAGAGGTACCAGATGAATCCAGCCAGTGTAAAGTGTTCCTTCATATTCAAGAATAGAGAAACAACTTAAAAGATAGATTGGGACAATATTGCAGAAGGTTTTGAATATCAAGCCAATTTGTGTGAGTTTTTTTAGTCTAAAGGTAATGGTGGAACCATTGAAAATTCTTTTATTTATTTATTTATTTTTTATTTTTATCCTCACCCAAGGACATTTTTGCATTTATCTTCAGATAGAGTGGAAGGAAGAGAGGAAGGAAGAGAGAGAGAGAGAAACATTGATGTGAGAGAGACACATCGAGTGGCTGCCACCCACACAACCCCAACTGGGGCCGGGGACAAACTGCAACTGAGATACGTGCCCTTAGTGGGAACTGAACCCGGGACTCTGATCCACGGACCAACGCTTCAGCCACTGAGCCAAACCGGCCAGGGCGAAAATTCTTGATAGGAACTCTTTTTTTAAAAGAACCTGTTTCAGTTTAAATGTAATTTGAAATGAAAATGAGGAATGGATCCTGACATAGAAATAAAGTTTCAAATGCAAATAAAAATTTAGAACAAGGGTAGCCTGTCTCTTCAGTGCTTCATGTCATCAGCAGGACTGCCTATGACTGTCACAATGGAGGAAAACAAAACAAAAAGGTAAAAGAAAGAAATAAGTGAAAAATAAATTAGAAGAACTGAAAGTAGTAAATCGTAAAGTATAGCTAACTATTGTTGTGTATGCTCTTCTGATCTTGGCTAGAATATAAATCTCATTATAGATATAATACAAAATGTGTTAGAGGTCCTAAATGGATTGGTAGTTTGCAGTTCTAGCTTGCAGTTCTAACTGTGCTTAATTGGATCATTAGTAATACCTGGAGTTTACCCAGAAATTAGATGCTTTCAGAGGTACAATGTCAGTCCACCATAGGCCAGAAAACTAAACTATTGGATTGTTAGCTTTGGGTGTTTTTGGGTTCTCTCTTTAATAAGATTTTCATTAAAGTACAGTTATTGTAACATACTGTGCTAATCATTAGTGGCACCCTAGGACTTTTTTTAGTTTACTGGTTTTTGTTGTTGTTGTTGTTTTGTTTTGTTTTTTAATGAATTTCAGAGAGAGAGAGAAACATCTATGTGAGAGAGAAACATCAGTCAGTTGCCTCCCGTACTCACCCCAACCGAACCCAAAACCTGGGTATGTGTCCTGACCGGGAATCAAATCTGCCACCTTCTGGTGCTCGGGGTGACGCTCCAGGAACTAACTGAGCCATACTGGCCATGGCTAGTTTATTATTTTTAAGAATATGGATTCCTGGGCTCTACTCCAAGAATCTCAGGGAATGTGACTTATGGGACTCTACAGTTTTTAAAGCCTTACAGTTCTGTTGATCAACTCGATTTATGAATGACTTATTGAAAGAATCATTTTTCAGTATTGTATTTAATCAGGATCCTTGGCTTATATTCTGGCAACCTTCTGTGTATATGCTGTAGACAAAATTCCAAATAAGAAGGAAGAATTTGTTTATAAAACTTTGGTTCTTCTTCTTGACTTCTTATCTCTCCATCATTTTCTTCAGATTTTCTAAGGTGTTGGGAGTCAGTGGCCATCCTCCAATAGTCAGGAGTTGTCTTGATTTCCTTAACAATCATGACTGGGTATACACAAATACTTATGTTAATTTCTTCAAAAAGAACCTGATCTAGGATGAGAAGGAAAAAGACCAAAATATTTATAAATGAATGTTTAGAATACAGGTTCTTTAACAAAGTGATAGCCCCGGGGGATCTTAGCCAGCCTTTGGCTTACAGAGTAGTACTTACTCCTTTTTTTCATATTAAATCTGGATGCTGAGATTCTGGAGAAATGCTAGATAATGTTATTTATAGAGCTACCATGACTCAGA